ATGATTTACTCATTCCAACTGACAATGGCTATCAGACTCTCATTTACACGATGCCAAGGCAAAGGCTCACCACTTCAAGCACAAAGTTGGAAAATTCTTCAATATAGTCAACCCCAATCACCGCCATGATGAGCAGCATGAGCAAGAAACGGACAAGAAGAGAACTGCGATTGCCGAGTCACATAGATACGGGTCCTTTGCTCCGATTAGAGAGGGCAACAGAGTCAAGTGGTACGTCGACGCGCTGGACTACCTCTGGGCTGTCTCAGTCGCCTTGGAGGAGTCAAAGGAGGTGATCTATATCGAGGATTGGTGGCTCTCTCCGGAGTTATTTCTTCGTAGACCCCCATATTTGACGCAAGAATGGAGACTCGATCAAGTGCTCAAGCGCCGTGCTGAAGCGGGCGTTAAGATTTATGTGATTGTTTACAAGGAGGTTTGTTAGCCACATTGGCTATGATCAGTCGATACAACTGACAGGATTCAGGTCAATCAAGCACTAACATGCAACTCGGCGCATACGAAACACGCGCTCCGTAATCTCTGCCCCGAAGGAACTCCTGGTCACGGAAACATCAAAGTTCTCCGGCATCCGGACCACAATATCTTTGAAAACGCGGCAGATATGACATTGTACTGGGTAAGTCCATCGTGGATCATAGTCCTTGCCAATATTATACTGACATTCTAGGCACATCATGAAAAATTTATCGTCATCGACTACGCCGTCGCCTTTATTGGTGGTATCGATTTATGTTTTGGTAGATGGGATGCTCACCAACACCCCCTGGCGGACGTTCATCCTGCGAACTTGAAGGATGAGATATTTCCAGGTCAAGATTGGAATAACAATCGTATTATGGACTTTCAGAGCGTTGCAGAGTGGCAGTCAAATGAAGTAAGCAAAGCAGAGTATGGCCGAATGCCCTGGCATGATGTAGCCATGGGCCTGGTTGGTGACTGTGTCTATGATATTGCTGAGCACTTTGTTCTTCGATGGAACTTCATCAAGCGAGATAAATACAAGCGTGATGATGGTGTCGACTGGCTTCTGTTGGAGGGCCGCACTGGTGAGGACGAAGATCTTGTCGGGGTACAACGCCCAAAGTATCCTTGCGGAGACTATGTTCAACATCCTTTTAATCCGCTAGACACCAAGCCGCGAGGAATGCAAGGCACTGTGCGAGGACAGATCATCCGCAGCAGTGCTGATTGGAGCAGTGGAATCCTGACTGAGCATAGTATCCAAAATGCCTATTGCGAGATTATTCGCAACGCTCAACATCTGGTCTACATCGAAAACCAGTTCTTCAGTGAGTTCGCCTTCGCTACAATGCTTCAGATGCTGATATCGTCAAGTTACTGCCACGGGAGACCAGCAAAAGCCCATTATCAATACCATTGGGCGTGCAATTGTCGACGCCTGCGTCAGAGCTGGCAAAGAGGGTCGGAAATTCCGAGTGATTATTGTGATTCCAGCTATTCCAGGATTTGCTGGAGACCTGAGACAAAGTGAAGCAACTGGTACACGCGCGATCATGGACTACCAATACAAATCTATCCTGCGCGGGGAACACTCGATTTTCGGTCAGATCTCTGCTCAGGGAGTAGATCCAAGAGGTGAGTTCTTAACCTTCACAGAAGCTAATGACTAATTCGATCAGAGCATGTATTCCTTTTTAATCTGCGCGCTTATGACCGTATCAACAAGACTTCTGCTCTGGAAGAACTCGAAAATGAAGCAGGAGTAACGTATCATGACATCCAGCGTGGCATAGCCGAGTCTATCATGAGCGACAGCGTTCACCCGGCGATTGGCGAAGAAGGCGACAAAAACGAGGTCAGCTACGACAACGCACAGAAAGAGAGGGAAGAAAGGATTGCAAGATTGCACAGATACGAGGAGAAGCAGGAAAGTCACAGAAGTGGCCAGTACCGAAGCAAGGACTCTGTCGCGCATACTACTATGCTCAATGGCGGCAAGATGTCTGAGGAACCCTGGGAAGGGGAGCCGGAGAGTGAAAAGGGAAACTTTGTCCAGGAGGAACTCTACGTGCACGGTAAAGTGTGCATTGTCGACGACAGGATTGCCATCTGCGGCAGTGCGAACATCAACGATCGGGTGAGTTTACCCTTTTGCAATGCTTGACTCCATGTCTGACATTAGTAGTCACAACTCGGTTACCATGATAGTGAGCTGGCCATTGTTGTCGAGGATCAAGACTTCATCGACAGTACGATGGACGGCAAGCCATATAGAGCCTCACGACTTGCGGCTACTTTGCGACGACAGCTGTGGCGAGAGCATCTAGGCCTCCTCCCAGCGCAAGACTACGACGCCTCCAAGCATCCCAACGCGCAGCCACCCAACGTCTGTCTGAATGAGATCCTCGAAGGCCCGGAGAACGACTTCGTCACAGATCCCTTGAACGATGACTTGTGGAAGATATGGACAGAGCAAGCCACAACGAACACCGAAGTATATCGGATGCTGTTCCGCGCAGATCCAGATGACAACATCCGCACCTTTGAGGAATACGATAATTTCAGACCGCGAGGCGGAATCAAAGAGGGACACCTGTTTGACCCGTACCAGCCTGTCAAGGATATCCGAGAGAAACTAGACAGGATCAAGGGCCACCTTGTCTGGATGCCACTCGATTTCCTGAAAGATGCCGAGATGGCGGAACCTGGTCTAGCCGTTAACCAAATCACCGAAGTAAGTTCGTTGATGTCACACTTAAGATAATTTTTGCTGATTTGATTGCAGAGCATCTATACCTAATCGTCTTCTATCTACGTTCCAAATGCGAAGTACATTTTTTTTGCAATCATGATTTTGAATACCATTTGATTACTGTATTCAAGCGAGGAGGATATGAGCTGTAAAATTGTACATTCATCCAGGTCAGCATTATATACGTCCAAAGGTAACACTACCAGCAAAAGCAGGCATCATGTGAACAAAGCAGATTTATTGGCAGATATGTGACATGTCCATATGTACGAACAAAATGGAAATTGGTAAATCAGTCTTTGTCATGTTTTTACACCATTAATACTGCAAAATATCAACTCATTGTTTTAACATCAAGTATATCGATTCTCTACTCCCACAGCTCATATTCAGGAAAGTACTTGTCATGGATCCGCCTCGCATAGTTCACCAAAGCCGGATGCCCCCTGATGATCTCCTTTGAAGCAGGGGCCCTACGCGACATCAGTATACCGCAGAACAAACCGAAGCAAAGGTGAGTACTCACGCATCACACACCAGCCCTGACGCAATGAACCCAAACAACACCGCATCCACCTCCGTCGGCCCCTCTCCACCCCAGACCCAGAACGGCCCGTCCCGATCAGACTGCTTCGCCTGCGCCTCCGCCACCACCGCATTCAATCTCTCCCAGATCTCCTCCCGGAAGGCACTGATTTCCTCCTCGGTGAAGGCCAAGGTACCCTGGCCCTGGAGATTGCGGGTGACTTTGCGGTAGATGATGTTGCCGACGATGACCTGGACGGGCCAGGGAAGAGCGGCGAGGATCTTGGAGCGCGTGGTGTAGAAGTTTAGGATCCATCGTTCGTATGTCTTTTTATGATCAGATTACTCTCTCCACTTCCATGCGCAGTCGTTGCGACTCGTACCTGGTAAGAATACAACTTATCTTCTAGCAACGCCTTGAGCGCCAGATCATGCAGTCGCTCTGTCGGAGACAGGCGCTGGTTCAGATCCTCTGTGTACCCGTTCTCGATCAGCGCTTTGGTGATGAGGGTGGAATCTGGGAGCGTCTGCGGCGACTGCTCGCCATCCTGGATGGAGACGTAGGGGACCTTGCCGCGGGGAGCTTTTGGGATGGCCCCTGCTTCGGTGCGGTAAGGGATGTTGGCGAAACGGAGACGGGCCTCTAGCTTTGTGACGAAGGGGGACCAGGTGTAGCGGCCGGTTTCTGGGAAGCCGCGAAAGACGGTGATGAGGGGGGATGATTTGGCGGCCATTGTGGGTGTTAAAGGGGAAGATGACAATGATAGGAGGCGAGCCCAGCTAAATGATTGAATATCTGCTAATATTTTGAGGACGAATTGAAGTGAAAAGTGAGGAAGAAAGACAGAACGAATACAAGTCGAACAAGAGAGCTCTAGGCTGCAATGCACCTTGTCGGAGTCCGATATGGGCAAGGCTGGAATTGGGGGCTAACCTAACTGTAACAAACTATATACCACGTCAAGATGGATGGGTCTATGGTGAGAATGTTTAGCCAATTAGCCAGTTGCTTGTTACTACTAGAGTTTCAAGAGTTCAGGTAGAAAAAGAAATGACTCGAATTGACCCATGTTCAGTCGCATCTCTGAACGCGTCTAGTCTCAAAGCCCTAAGGCCGCTATTACCTATGTCTGGCGTACTCTAGGACTAGAGACTAACGATAGTTAGGCCTCTGGACAGCACTAAAGAAGCTACAAGTTTAGTGCTTACTGCCCCGCATCAACAACCAATTGAGTATCTTGGATCACCAACTTCATTCTCTGCCAAGGGCCAACTGCCTAGTTATAGATACCCATACATGACTATCTACAGAGAGGCTATGAGGATCGAGCGTCGCATCATCGGGTGATACAGCCGGTCACCGTCTTCAGACCCTTCCGAGTCAGCAGTGCACACCAATGGCTCTCTGTGCGCTCATGAACACTCATTAGGAACTGGAACCATTTCAGTTGGTGTGGGTGTTGACTGTCCCAGGGAAAGAAGTACAGGTCTGTGTAAAAGCCTGAGCCGAGCGAGGGTCTTGCTTTGAGTCCGAGTACTGGTCCTCCTCGAGATATTGGAAAGGGCCTGGTAAACGGGACCTTTAATGTTGAGCCTGGGTGCATGGTTCGCTTTTGTCTGAACTGGCAATTCAGGGACGACTCACATGTAGTTGATGCAGTCCTGGAAGATTGGCTTGGCTAATGACCAGGTAGCTTGGTTTGCCTTGAAGGAATGGACCCATTTGTCATAATAACGACTACTCAACCTCCTCAACAACGGGAAACCCAGCCTTCTCCTTCAAGAACTGCACCGCATCATCAATTTCGTTCGGCACTTTATACCAGTGTCCAAACTCCTCATATGCCTTCCACGTCACATCCATCCCGAACCCATCAGATAGGATGGACGCCATCCGTCGTCCCAAGTCTACCGACACCTTGGGATCTGCAGACCCATGGCCCAGGAATCCGGTGTTTTCAAGTAGGACACACGTAACGCATTCTCGGAGTCATCGGCGTCATACTGACAGGGCGGCATACCGAGAATATCCCGGATATGATTGACTGCCTGGATGTGTGCGGGGACATCGTCACCATCTGTATCGTGGGCGAACGGGTTGTCGTAGTCTTCTTCGGCTTCTGATTGTGATCCTTCTCGATCGCCTGCGTCAATTTTCAATAACCCAGCAATCTCCCCTTCAAAAGGTAACCACCCGCTCATCCCAATGAATCCCCCAAGCAATTTGCTCTCTCCACCTTCTCTCACAGAAGGAAATCCCCCCAAGAGACAGAATACAGAAGCCGCACACCCCTGGCTCAAACCCCCAATCACGACCCGACGATACCCATCGCCAACAGCGGGATCATTCGACAAGAGCTCCGCCTCTTCATCAATCAATCTCCGAAGAAATTCACTACTTTCCTGTAGTCCATCAAGCTGTAATTCAGTCCGAGTATTCGGATCCTCAAGCGAGTAATTGTCGAACCACTGGTTGATAGGAATCCGTTTCAGTACGGTAGAGCGCCGTTTCCTCGCGGTGGGGAAGATGAATTTGGTCGTTGGGAGGCGCTTCGCGATGCCCGTCGATTCGATGAAGACGTGGCCGAAGCGCTCGCTATTACTGCCGCGGCCGTGAAGGAGAATGATTGTATGCGTATGTTGGTCATTCCTAAGAGGCGGGATGACGAGGGGAGGGGGATAAGGCTTGGAAGAAGGCATGATAGTCAGAGTCGGGAAAATAGATGGTGGAGAGAGCTTTTGAGAATAAAGCGGGCGGAACGGTTCTTTTGAGGTGTAGACAGCCTAAGACAAGCTCCAAGTCCTCAACAACTCAGCACATAATCTAGTTATAAATGCCTGGTGATCACAATAATAAGCGCCGATTTAACTACTGGCTTTGTCCTAGCACTCACTCCTACGCAGCGCTCTGCGCCCATATCTTGATTTTCTTCTCTGTGCATCTGGTAATGACAGACAGACTAAAGATATTACGTTACATTCACTCCTATGAGCCATGATTCACTGCTCAATATTGGGAATCCCTAACCAAAGTGAATGTCAGTAATTCCCTGCACAGATCTCAACTGAGTCTTGTAATAGTGGGTGATAGGGAAATTAAGATGGAAGGTATCAGCACTATCTCCCCGTCTTCAGCTCGTTAACTCTTCTCTCCTCTTTCTATCTTCTTCTCCAGTCATTTCTGCTCAAAGATTAAACATCTCAACTGACTTACCACTACGCTAGAAAGTGTCCATATGGACTATCTTAGCCGGCAGCAATATTGCTGCATCTCATGGCTCTTTCTCGACTTGTATAAACGACAAGAATTGACTGATATGTGTCTTTAGAGGGCCAGGCTCTATTTGACAGTGTCCAGGTAATCTTGCTTTTACTCAAAGACAATCAGGAAAGAGCAACCGATGGGGATTACTCAATACAGTAGCCTGATTCTCTTTGATCATCTCATGTCGTTGCCTCTATCTCCTTTCTTCTACTTGTTCCTTCCAGTAACTATTCCTCCTGACGCTCTGACTCTTCTTTACTTGCCCTTTCCTCCTCAGTTTCTCATTCACCAATGCTGATATGCTATATCTATGCTCATTGCACTGCCATATGCTAATATTGATGCAATGCAGCCTGATCGCTCGCCAGAGTACCGAGTTGCCATGTGTGACGCTGCCCTGTTTCTGCCCTGACCCTGCCTTGTAAGTTTACAGTTTAATCATGGTCAACCTAGACTGGAGTACATGTCACTGACTGATTGATACTATCTACTAGGTGGAAAAGGGGCATGAATTGCCCGAAGACGTTCAGGCAGGGCTGGAGGGAGCCAAGCTGCGGCCGGACCTCACACCGGCCCAGCAACTGCTGGGGTTTGAGCCCCGGAAGGGGGAGCGGGAGGAGCCGTTCGTGGAATGGGAGGCGTCAAGACGTATATCAAAACATTCCCAGATGCGATTATTGACTTCTTCAACGTCCCGGGGACAATCATGCACTTGCTCGGCTACGGCAAGAAGGGGAAAGAGTTCGAAATCTTGAAGAACTTTCGTGCTCAGCCATGCGAGTATATATCTTCTTCTTCTGCTCTGTCTCCCTCTTCTCGAGCTTTCACCGTCTAACTGTGTCATTTGAGCTTGAAAATTCCGTACAGAAGCTGGTCCTTCTATTTCGAAAACATCAAACTTGAAATCAATATGGCGCAGCCGCTGGCAGGCTACTGGGCGCTTCCTATGCTAAGGCAGCACCAGACGTTGCAAAGATGGCGTTTGAGGAGCGGACAAGGCACGTGAGGAAGACACTTAAGGCATGCCATTCAGGTCGATGACTTGCTAACAATATGACACGCTAGAAGCACCAGCGCCAGTGCCAGCGCCAGCAGCACCAGCAGCGGCCGCCGCCTCCTCCCGCCTCCCCTGGCCCTCCGCCCTGCCTGGCCCTGTGAGTATTTCTTAAATCTTAATATACAATAAGGCATGTGGCTAATCTTGATTTCTAGCCTAGTAAGAAGAGGAGGGGGGAAGAAGCCATCAGGCGCAAGGCGCACCAAGAGGTCTTCCGCCTGGTAAGTTCACAGTTCAATAATAGAAATTATCAGTGACTAATTGATATTATCTAGATGGCTGACAGGGGCGTCGCAGCGCCTGAGGACATCCAGGCAGGGCTGGGGGCCCCCAAGCTGCGGCCCGACCTCACACGGGCCCAGCTACTCCGGGTCGAAGAACTCATATATGAGTTCGAGACCGGAAGGGGAAGCGGGAGGAGGAGAAGGAGCGGCGCAAGGAGGCTAAGGAGGCACTAGAGGCAGCGAAGAAGGCCTTCGAGGAGGCTGATAAGGCGTGGTGCTCCGCAGACGCTGCCATCCAAGGCAGTGTCCGCTGAGCGCTACAGGTACTTTGTCGAAGATTGATTTTTTTTTTTCTCAATTTTCTTTTTTTTTTTTTATCTCTTTACTGATGCTCACATCTGCTGAGCTCAACAAGAATTGTTTTCTTTTGCTTTTCCTTTTTGCGACAACAAGATCAGCAAAATACCGCTTCGACAGGGACTCACCTGTACACATCGCTCAGAGATCGCTGAAAAAGAACCTTGAAATGCGGAAAGCTACCATCTCAGCAGGAACGTGGAACATCAAAAAGACAAGATGACTCAGGCTGCTATGTCAAAGAAACAGTCCGTGAGCTCAAGTCTTTGGACTACTCAACTGTGAATTGAACTCGTTTCATTACCATGGATGAAGCTCGAGTCGAGCGTTACAAACTATGGAAGGATTCGCATCCCAGATGCAGAGTCTGGGGGCTTCAAAGCTCACAAACCTCTGTCTGCTTCCTTATCCTTCCGCTTGTGAGCAACAACAGCAGACAGCAACACTACCAGCATAGAGCAGCGCCAGCAGCAACAGCAATAACAACAAAAACCGCAAATCAGGAGCAAAAACAGCAGCGTGGTAGCATTAATACCACCTCAAGAAAGCCTCACATCCAAATCAGGTTATCAGTGACCTCAAAACCGAGCATATACGTGTGCTTCGAATCCACTGGGGCGGTTATCTGGGAATGTCGGACATAGCACATGTATCTATGATGTTGAGAATATACTTCCCAGAAAATTCTTCAATGTCTGTTAGACAACTGGTGATACTATTCTTTATTAGAGACATAGAGAAAGAGAAAGATTGGCCGTCGTGTACTCTATACATTCCACCGGTACCCAGCATGCGCACAGTAGGTATAGGAAGCAAGGGAACGCAGTCCACCTGCCGAAGCAATGACTCAACGGATAGCACAAGGGTGTATGGATTTAGAATCCAACCAACGGCGATCACGCCTTGGACCCTTGTCCTTGTTGAAGCTTGGCTTGGTTGTACATGATGCATTTCGAGTGGTACAAACTGCCACATCAGACCAAGTCAAATCGAGCACGAGACCTGATCCCAAGAGATCGTACAATGTGATTTGTTGGATTAAAGATGTTATGCAAAGTAGGTCATTTCCTAGCACATGAGTCTGAGATTGGTGTAATTAGCTGCGTTGCCGCGTCAGTTGCCTGAGTCTATGTATGTTCTCTATTCAACATTCGCAGGAAAACAAAACAAGTAAGAGCAGTCTGGTCAAGAAAATAAACTGACAAGGAGAAGGAAATGAAAAAGGAAGTCACAGCCATGTCCTGTATGCTATGCAGAGAAGAGGCCAGCAAGAGGAATCAGAAATAAAACACAAAGACCAAAGCTTTTGTCGCTGAACCTTGACACCGAGTAACGATGCAGTGCTGAAAGAACAGTTCGTGGAAACAGCAGGATTCGGCCGTGTCTTTGCGAACGTCATTAAGTAGAGAGCTGAGAGTTCAGTCCGTAAATTGTTTGTGCTTTTCCATGATGATATCGAGCGAGGACCAGTCAGAAAAATGCTGCACCCAAGGTGAGCATCCCAATTGCCAGCCAATCGGATACGAAGCGAACATCCGATTGACATGGAATCATTGCCGTCGAAGGACAGTGAACTGATAGTCTCGAAAATTACAGTCTTGGACGGATGAGCAACTGAGTCTTGTGCGCGTTGACCTGCTTGAGCTAGCAAGCAGGTAACGGTGCGGCGAGGGTGATCTATGGATCCTATCAGCAAAGAATTTCACACAGAGTCAGTAGACTTGTTTGAATGAGAGCCTACCGGTCCGGTACGACGCCGCAGATGTAACCATCACCTAAGCTTTGGCGGTATGGCATGCGTTGCAACGACAGTGACCACAGATCTTGCACCGCCAGATAGCCACGAACGGACCGGAGTTGCAATCTGAGCAGCGCCAGGTGAGGATATTCCCGTTAGTGGCTTGCACAATGGCGAAGACGTGTCCCGAGCACTGGTTGGCCATGTTGATGTCTGCCAGAAGATTAGTATGTGAGCAAAGGAATGGTAGTGATGCGTGGCTCCGCCACGTACTTGATCAGTTTACCACGGAAGGATCAATTAAGTAAATCTCGGCGGGTCGAACCAGATCTTTGGGTCTCAGTAGACAAGGTTGAAGGGCGATGGCTCCTTCTTTATCCGAATGGTTGGGAAACAATACCCGCGCTCTAGAGTCGGGATAAGGCAAGGGCGTATGCAACAATGCTCCAGGGTCCGGACAAGATGGTAGGGATGGAATCTGAAGAAGCCAAGACAGAGGATGTGTCGGTGTGCAAGGATCAAGTTATGCTTTGGATTGGTAGCAGAGATAGAAGAAGGATTTGAGTGTTGTGTGAGATGAAGAATTCAGATGAAGCTGTAGACGACGACTCCATAGTATATATAGGCAAGGTTTCGATCTCAACCAGACGGTAGAAACAGTATCCTAGCGATGATCCGATGAACGCATCACTCGAAAGGTATCTTGTTTGTCTTTCCTCAGGAGATCGGGAGGATACGATTGTACAATGTACCAGCTACAGGGTCCAGGCCTGGCACCGGGAAGATAGCTTGACTGGGGCTGTAGGGAAGTTGCTTTTCGAGAAAAATGATGTTATTTCATACAATGCATGTAGCCGATGATTGCGGAACTGACATTAGCTCTGTGGAGAAAAGGACCTGGATTCCTTGAGGAAGAGGAATGGACAATGGTGGAATGGAACCTCAGAATCCTAAATGAGTGAACGGAAAGGTAGTTAAGGGACAAAAAGTACTGCTCGAACTGCACGATGGGCCACACAAGATGAGACAGAGATGAGATCCGGAAGCAAAAGAAACAGAAGAGAAACAGGGAGGAGAGGGAGGAAGAGGTTCGAAAACCCATGGAAAAGTGATGTATAGTCGGCAGTGGGCCAGAGACAGTAGCAGCAGCAGCAGTCCCGGGGAGATGGGAAGCGCGTCAATAGTCGCATTCTTAACTTTAATAATAAGATGTTTAACAAATTATTGGATATTGAATATTGAATTAAATGGTTCGTCCTATTATTTGGGGCACCAAACATTATTGCTTCAGCATTATTGGACATAATTTGAAATAGACAAAGCTAGACATGGGTCACTCCACAGAGAAATTAAGGTATCGAGTACTGAGACTCGGAGCAGTGACTAGTAACTACTAGTTATCAGGGCATCATATAGACCTGTCTTTTTAATTTGATATCTTTCTACTCCGTACCGAGTACTAAACGTCAATAGAGATTGTCCCTGAGCCGATTGGGCGATCGAAGAGTTTTGATTGGTGATCGACAAAGCACAGCCCTTCCCGGCCAAATGGTGCTGGAGATTTGGCATGGAAGATCTCGAGATCTAGCACTCGGAAGTGCAATTTGCTTTTTCTACGCAGTACGGTCTAGAATACACATCATCAGTTGTTATTATTAGGAGGAAATGTGCTATCGGATATCTCTTTTCTTTTTTTCTGTGGCTGTCCAGTCATCCATGACCCATGTCTCAGCAGACGTCAACCAGGATCGTGATCATGACCCAGATCCAAGGGTCCGGAATTCTGGATGGTGACAAATTCTAGGCCATAATTCTCCGACGTAGATATATCATATAGTATACACAGAGCAAGGTCATAATATCATAAATGATTCCACAGTATGGCATAACATAGAATCGATGAACTACTATTTGAATGATGGTAGAAATTTCAAATGATAGACTAAATAAATTGTTCATGAAGGATACTGTGAAACCGAATCCCAGTCACTGTAGGGCAATAACGAATATCAGGACAAGGACAAGGACAAGGTTTATTGAGACTGTTTCACCAATTTCATCACAATGACTTGTGAGATTATGGTCATTATTATTATTGCATGATGCTGATTATTGTTCTTTTTTTGAAGCTTTACAAGGACCGAGCTAAGCCGGATCCCGATCATCTTTGCTTTTCTAAAGTAACTACTACACTAAGGGCCTCATGATTAATCTCAACCAACAGACTACTCTAGTACTAACACACTAGTTGACATGGTACTACAGTAGTTATCCATTTGATCCACTCAAAGCAGGGGAATTGCAAGAGGATCAGGAAACAGGACAGCCATACAGTCCATACTTCCCGCCAATGGATTTAGCACGTCCTACCCACCATCTGCTAGGTGCTACTGTACGTACTCTACCAACGATCATTTCAGAGAGTTCCCTAGGTATTTCCCTACTTACATTTGTACCTAGTACATGAGACCAATGACCCTGGAAGAAGTAGTTCTACTCTGGCAGTGGCAGTGGCAGATCTCGGCTGATGCTGGCTGATCGTGGCGGGCTTGTGCAGGAGGATCCACGGTCCCGCCAACCGGGTTCGCGGCTAGAGTGGCTTCTCTGCCTTGGTGCCTCAGCCCTCAAGCTCAGGGATGTCCGTACATTTTATCAACGGTCCAGTTGATTTGGTATCAGGTGCACTGCGATGACCCGATCGACTCCTGCCAGCTTGCTCTTTAAAAAGAACCCAGCCGGTCACCCATATCGATGGCTTACCAGGGTTTACGTAAGACATAACGATCAACTGACTTTCCACCAAATTCAAGACTACACCGAATAGGCAAGTGGTCAGATCACTAGTCGTTCCCGGCTGAACTCTTCGCCAATTCGGGACACCTGCAGCGGATCTAAACCCAATGCTCCATGGTCGAGGTTTAGTTTTCGAATTGAAATTGACGAGCACGCGGACCAAGGTTCCAGGATCAGGAGTTGAACTGTTGAAGTCGAAGCGTAGCGCTAAGGGAAGAGGACAGGTATCCACATGGCGGCTGCCAGTTGCCTGTCAAGTGTCAATTCATAGTTGCTATTGGATTGTTGAATTGACGACTCACTGACCACCAGAGGAACGCAAGAGACAAGCATAGTACTCCGTACGTACTCACGTACTACTCAGGAATGTGCAAGAGGTATGAAGTAACTACCCAGTCAACCCATTGGTCCTCACATACGATAGCA